TCCGTCAAAAGATTTGTAAACTCTTCTCTCAGCAAAGAAATAATATAAAAATTCTCCGTGTTGCTATTATCCGAAATACATGTAGAACTTTCATTCAACTTTGAGTCACTTAATGTACTTTCATTTGCAGAAATATCCTTACATTTTTTATCAAAAATAAGATCTTTCACATTATATCGATTGCACATTGTAAATACATAAATTATTACTAGTCACTTTATTTTTCAAGTCTTGCGCTATAATAGTCCACACATCATGTGTTTTTGAGACTATATTATTGTTGTTTTTCACAATATCTTTATATTTTAAGATAGCTTCTTTAATTACCTCAGGATGAACTTTTCCTGATCTGCCACGAACAGGAAGCATGGTAAAAATTACGTAATTCACTATTTGCTATCTGACGAGTTAATAAAGAACGAATAATGTCGTACTGATCCTGTCTAAGCTGTTACTAACAATCACTTCTTAACAACAGTGCCACTGACGAGTAAAAAAATAAATGCTATACAGCAGTATCGCGCTTTATCGCGCTTTATGTGTCATTGCGTTATGACAAAACGCAACGTGATCGCGCGCTTTCTTCTGTTTGACATATTGACAGATAAGCAGCGCGTAATTTTGACATAAATTTGGATTTAACATAATAATAGTACATCGAGATTATTCCATAATTTTGTTGATATATGCCTTTATAATACATATTTTTATAATGTATATTTCAATAATGTATAATTTCATCGTGTGTGTTTAATAATATATTGTTTTTGAATGTAATTTGTATCGAATGCATAAATTGTGATTATATAAAATATAAATAAAATATATTTATCGCTCTAATTATTTTTGTCGTTCTTTTCTTTCCTTATTAGAATTCGTTTGGTACATCTATGATTCTCGAAATATGAGACCGATGTACTGTAGATTTAATTTTCTGTACACTATACGCATCTCAAAATGAGATTGATGTACAATTTAATATTTAATTGATGTATGTCATATATATATATATATATATATAATACATTTTTACATTTATTTAATACTTTTTTACGTGGTACAAATTAGTACAAATTCAGAATCATTAAAATCTACTGCAATTTGCCGTTTTTCAATGATATTTACTCTGTTAGCTTAAAATAGCAAAAGTTAAGCAGGACCACAATTTTGTTTAAATAAAACAAGGTACAAAATTATTTTTGACGGTGCAAAATACTACACGATGAGTGCTGAAAAACGTAATAAATGTAATTCAATTTTACCAATACAATTCTTAATCATCGAAAGAGAGGAATATTATTTTTGAGACTGGTCAAGTTTGGAGTAGCTTTAAGAGGTAAGCAGAAATATTTTGAAACTTTTCTTGATACAAATTAGTACAAATTTGTACAAATTCAGAAACAATACAATCTATCGCTTTTTGTCGTTTTTTATCAGTTTTTATTCTGTTCTCTTTATATTAAGTCAGCAGGACCACAATATTTTTTTAAATAAAACGAGGTACAAAATTATTTTTGATGGTACAAAATACTACAAGATTAATGTAATTTTGTACCATGAAAAACAATTTTGTATTCTATGTCCTTTAAGAGAAATCGTGATCCTACTGACTTAATATAAAGTCAGCACAATAAAAATGGTTGAAAAAAAACAAAAAAAGTAAATTTTTTTCTTCTTCGATTATTAAAAATTAAATCAGTAAAATCAAGTTAAATTTATTGCATTTTTCAGTACTTATTGTCTAGTATTTTGTACCATTAAAAATGATTTTATACCTTGTTTTATTTAAAATAAATTGTCTTGTTTTATTTAAAATAAATTGTGGTCCTGCTTTTAAGCTAACAGAGTAAATATCATTGAAAAACGGCAAATTGCAATAGATCTTATCGTTTCTGAATTTGTACTAATTTGTACTATCAAGAAAAAATGAAAAAATCGCGATCCTGCTATCTTCATATTAGGCTTAGATAAAAGAAGGGTTATTTAAAGGGGTAAATATGAATTTTTCGATTTATTTCAAATGGTACAAATTAGTACAAATTCAGTACTAATTGCATGTACCATGGTTTATTTATTTAAAAAATTTTTTTTTGGGTCCTGCTAGCTTGATAGCAAGCTAGCAGCGCCACGATTTTTTCTGAACCGGCACGTGGTACAAATTTTTTTTTGGGGTACAAAGTAGTACAAAATGGGTACTAAAAAGTGCGATAGGCCCCATTCGATTCTGCTCATTTGGTCCTGCTAGCTTGAGAGAGGTAGACAATGCTTGTTGTCGAAAAACAAAAATGAATAACGTAACCGTACTCACCTTGAACGAACACCTCCTCCTAGTGCGTGCTGATGGTGGCGTGCATTCTGTTGATGGCCAAATGTTCTTCCATCATGTTTCAAGTAAGTATACCTGCATTATAAATTCTATAAGGGTTATGTTAATCAATTAAATTTATCTTTCGAAACATATCTACGTTTTTGTGTCATTTTAATCAATGTTTCGAAATGGAATTTTGTATAGCTGAGAGCTAATTCTATTAATACAATAGGTCCAATTTTGTTTTAATTAGACGTTTTAATCTTTTTCTGAATGAAATACTGGTACTTCTTGAATCTATTTAATGCATCTTTGTGACCTGTTTCTATTTTTTTTTTCTCAGGTGGATCATTTATCTCTCTTCCTGTAGATGATCATGTAATTAAAAAATTTAAATCTGCTAATTCCTGTGAGTTTTTTACGATGACGGAGGATGTCACAGAGAATTTCTCTAGCGAAAGCTCTGAAACACGTGTCATCTCACCTCTGTCGAGTGAAACCAGAAGCAACGAAGAGATTTGGGTCAAAAATAATAAACCATCACCACTGGATACCACAGCCACACATGACCTGATTGAAATTGTTGGACGTAAGGATATTCAAATGGTACTGAATGATAAGAAAACTGTGAAGAAAAAGATTTGGGAGAAAATTGGTGCAGAACTCAAAGAAAAATACAATTTTGGAATAAGGGATGAAGGATCTGTTTGCTCACAGAAGTGGCGCAACTTTGAAAGTGCTGTGATGAACTTTTTACAAAATGCTGGTGCTGGTAGTTCTGGTAATGGAAAAGTGAAGAAACCAGCATTTTATGATGAGGTATTTGACATCATCAAGGGAAACACAAAGCAAAACCAAAACGTTTGCTTGACTCATGGCCTCTTTCTGAACAGGTGTCACCTACACCCACTACCTCCAAAGAGCAACCAGCCACGACTTCGAATGCTACAAATTCTGCAAGACAATCAGCTACCAATGCAATGGTTTGTGAATCTGAAAATGCATCATCAGATGAAGACGACCTCAATGAAAGTCCATTCAATCATGTGAAATCATCCACCAAACCAAAGAAACCTAGAGTTGACAACAGCTGCATCCTAAATTTTCTGAAAAATGAAGCTGAGGAACGTCGCAAGCAAAATGAAAGTTTGATGAAACTGATGCAAGATTCCAATGATACTAAAAAGGTTTTCCTTAGTATAATTACCAAGATGATGAGCTCAACCACAAGCTCAAATAAAATTTGAGCTAATTAAAATTGTGATTTACAAGTAGGCAGCTAATATAGGTACTCTTTCCTTATAATTTTCATATGTCATTGATTAACACAAGCATTAAATATGTGATTTCTTCTATATGTGATCAATAATTGTTATATTTTTGTTTTAGGTTATCTTTCCAGAGAAGAGAGAATATCCCAAGTAAAAAAAAATATTTATATAGGTTTTTATTTATAATTTTTTATTTATAAGTAAATAAAAAATATTTATTTTATTAATATTTTATTAATGAAATATTAATAAAATAAATACTTATGCTATATAATAAGTACTTATGCTGAAATGCCAAAGTATTATATAATTTTACTTAAAGTAAAATAATATAATACTTTGGCATTTCAGCATAAGTACATGAAAGGTGAGGTAGTCATGTTTAAATGGAATGATAACACTAGTGCTAAGTAATCCTCTGTACTAACATAAATTATAAAAAGAGACATCCCAAGTAAAAAAATTTAAAAAAAATGTTTTAAACTCATTTTCAAAGATATCTTAAAAACGTTAAAATAATTAGTTAAATTACTTTTTATTCATTAAAAAAACGTTTATTTTAATGTTTAATGTAATATAAATATTTATTTAACGTATATTAAATATTTATTTTATTAATATTTCATTAATCAAATATTAATAAAATAAATATTTAATACACGTTAAATAAATATTTATATTACATTAAACATTAAAATAAACGTTTTTTTAATGAATAAAAAGTAATTTAACTAATTATTTTAACGTTTTTAAGATATCTTTGAAAATGAGTTTAAAACATTTTTTATAAATTTTTGTACTTGGGATGTCTCTTTTTATAATTTATGTTAGTACAGAGGATTACTTAGCACTAGTGTTATCATTCCATTTAAACATGACTACCTCACCTTTCATGTATTTATGCTGAAATGCCAAAGTATTATATTATTTTACTTTAAGTAAAATTATTATATCTATATTACTATTTTATTTATACTTATTTACTTTAAGTTAAGGGATATTACAAAGGTTCCAGTATGATATTATGTACTTACTTGTCATTGCCAAAGTGCCTTAGTCATTTCAGTGTGAGAAACTGCAGAAAGTCTAGATTTATATAATATATCGTTTAGTTTTATTTATGTTAATATTCGTTAATTATTTCGGCAAAGTGCCGAATTCGCTATATCTGAGTACCTTTTTATTTTAAGTTTCTATGTTTGTTATCAAATATGTATAAGACAATGTTATTTTTTTTTTCATATTTTCTATATATATTATTTAGTGTAGTTCTGTCGAAATAACATTTGATTTTGCAAATATGTACTTTGAGATATAAATGAGAAATAAATGTCAAAGACAATATTTGTTGAATTGTTTTATTTCAGATACCTAGTTCTTTTCATTTATTTATCAATAAAAGAACTCTTTCTAAAAGAGAATCAGAACAGGCATACAATTCTGTTGCGTTTTTCTGCGCCTTGTATTTTGCTGGCTTCGTCTGCATAATTCTTGAGAACATGTTGCTTAGCCATGTGTCTTTTATCTCCAATCATTTTCTGAATCACCTCATCGTTGTGTAGATAACAAAAATTGTGCGAAACGCAGATGGCCAGTACAATGTCACTAACTTTGGCAATCTCTGTGTTAACTTTCATTAAGCGCTTCCATCTGCCCTTCATAAGACCAAACGTGTGCTCTATTACAATACGGGTTGAACTGTGATGATAGTTGTACGTTTTCTGTCTTGGAGTAAGGTTTCCAAAATCCCTGTTCAAAGAAAGGCAGCATTAAGATACTGTTCACATGACGGAACATAACATCACATATTTAAATGCAAAAAAATTGCAACTTACTTGAAAGGTGCCATGCACCATATTCTGTTAGGGTAGGCCTTATCACCTATCAAATGATAATTCTCATTAAAGAACATGGATTCTACTCCATCTCGCATTATCGTCCGGTAGACGCTGGAGTATTTTAGAACCCGAGCATCATTACAAGAACCAGATGTTCCAATAGATACATTTGTAAATATTTTTGTTGCAGTACAAATTCCTACAAAATAAAAAGTTAATCTTATCATGAGAGAGTTATGATATTAACGGCAAAAATATACTGTTTTGCTTAATCATAAAATCCCACCTTGAAGTGTAATAGAATAGTTGCACGTGCGATCTATGTAGCTAGATTGCTGGTTTGTTGGAGGTAGGACTTCATTGTGGCAACCATCGATGGCTCCTATGACACCTGACAAAAGACAATAAGATAAGGTGCAATTTCATTGACGCGATAAAGTAACGTCAATCATTGGTTGAACAAAGAAGTAAGTAGTTGCTTCTTTGTTCAACCAATGGTTGACGTTACTTTTTAGCGTCAATGAAATTGTACCTATATGACAAAGTTCCTGCATGAGAGGCATTGTCTTAAAAAAAAGTTTAAAAGTGACAGCCAAGCTATACAGAGTACTCACCAGGAAATCCCGCACGTGCCTCAAATTGCCTGCTCAGCACTACACACTCGCTCTCTTTAGGCCAAACAATAAATGTATTGCTAAGATCACATAATATGTGAATAATAGTTCTAGCCTCCTTGAAAACTGTGCTTTGAGCCACAGCAAATCGATCGCCTATATCAGACAAAGGCACATGCTTCCCCAGATAACACAATGTCATCAAGACAGCTTTCTCAATTGTCACTACAGGTGCATCACCTCTTTGGCATTTAACAGGGTAGTAAGGTCGGACTGTGTCGACAAAGGCCGAATATGTGCTTTTTATCATCCTGTACAAGCAAGAGACAAATTTGGACAGGGAATCCACTTAACAATCTACTTAAGAAGTCAATGAATGTCAAAAAAAATAACATTGACAACATGATAAATAAGAAATGTAGCAACGAAGTTGCTTTATGCTTCCTTACCTAAATTGTTTATGAAAATCTTGATCAATGTAACGGGTCACCCACTCTTCATTAGAAAATATTCCTATTTTGAAATGAGTTCTTCTATTTTTCAAAAGGGAAAGGACAACCCTGCTTGTAGGTTGCAATTGATAAATATTCACAATGTTTGATGAATCATCATCAATTACTTCCATTATACAATACAATAATACAGATAACCTCAGATTTGGATCCATTTTGATTATGATACGTGAAGCAACAAACTGCTAATGTGCTAACGCGTTTACGCATTGCCTGCTCGAAACGTTTTTATTCTCGGTTACTGTTTGTGACGTCATATCATCAAACACGAGCCAACCGCTTGTAGCGAGGTAGCAGCAACGAAAACGCGCCTTATAAGACGTAAACATAAACTCGAGAACCAATCAGAAAATGACTTTAGATCTGAATAATTCAGTAACATTAAAAATAACCATAAACTTAAACATAACATAAATTTCAACCGGTTGAAATTTTTACGTACGAAAAATTTGTATTATATATATATATGTATGAGTGGTTATATGAAAAAGTTGTGACACATCTCTAGTCTACTTGATTTATGTTTTATTGTAATATTAAAACAAAGGTGTGTATTATTTAATAATTTTATTGTGTGCTTATATATTATATATATATATATTTATTTATTTATTTATTTATATTTGTATATAACAAAAGTTAGAACAAATAAATGTTCAGAAATAAGTGTTCAGAAGAAAGATTATTCAGTTTTATAGGTTATATAATACAACACAAATTTTCTAGTGAGAAATAATTATAGACGTCTAATAAATGTTTATTAAATATCTATAAACATCTAAACTTTATTTTTGATTTAATTAATACTTATTTCTACAGTTTGCATTTTTGATTTTTATACTTATTATGATTTTTTTATTATTTCTAAAAATTGAATTTATTGATATGTACAAGAAATGATTATTTATTGATATGTACAAGAAATGATTATTTTTTATTATAATATGTATATATATATATATATATATATATATATATATATAAAATTAAAACACACACATGTGTTATAACACATACTATATTATATTACATATTATGTATATTTGTTATTATTTTTTTAAAAACTTACTATTGCATTATTTTTTCAGTATCTACAAATAGATGGAAAAAAATGGAACACACGTATGCTTCCCAATAACGTATGCTTCTTTGAATAATGGAACTACACTAGAAAATGCAAATAATGAGGAAATTGATGTTACATTAAATTCAGGAGATTCTTTATTAATTGATTTGGTACGAAGTTATCCTCATTTATATGATAAATCATCATCAAGTTACAAAGATTCGATAATGAAAGAAAATTCATGGAATGAAATTGGAAAAGTAATGATGTGTTCACGTAAGTACAGCTTTTTAAATTAAATTAATTGAATTGTTTTTAATGTTTTAAGTTTTAAAACATTATTATACTAAGGCTTAACAACTGTGTTTATTATTTTATTAATGATTTTAATAATATTTTGTTAGCTATTGACTGCCAAAATCGATGGATTAGATTAAGAGAAAGATTTTCAAAAGAGAGAAGAGGAATTGAAACTGAATTTAAAAGTGGAAGCGGAATATCTCATCGGAAACATTTTGCACTGTATGAAAATATGAAATTTTTGAATAATCATGTAAAACGAAGAAGGTTTTTATCATAAAAAAATTACAATTTATAATTTTGATTTTTTAAAATAATAAGGCCAGGTTGTACCAACATTTTGGATTTAAATGTGTAATTTTAATGTGTCTATCAATTTCTGTTTGTAAATAAATAATAAAAACAGATATATCACAAAATAATGGGTGCAATCAAGTCTAAGTAATATATAGCTTAGTAATAATAAGTAAAGTAATAAATTTTTAATTTTAATTATTTGTGATGTATTTCTTTTTGCTACTTTGCAGAACAGGACTTACAAATATTGCACAAAATAAGAAAGATAAAGAAAATATCTCATCAACATCATCATCAGTTTCTCTTAATTTGATGGAGAGATTTTCATCATCAATATCAACACCGTCAACTTCTTCTAATTTGATAGAGAAATTCTCAAAATCAACATTAACATCGTCAACTTCTCCTAATTTGATAGAGAAATTCTCAAAATCAACATTAACATCGTCAACTTGTCCTAATTTGATAGAAAGATTCTCAACATCAATATCAACACCGTCAACTTCTCCTAATTTGATAGAGAGATTATCAACATCAACACCGTCAACTTCTCCTAATTTGATAGCGAGATTCTCAACATCAACATCAACACCGTCAACTTCTTTTAATTTGATGGAGAGATTCTCAGACAATTCATCTCAATCTCCTGTACTACAACACTTTGAAAATCCCACATCATCAAACGTTCATCAGCAAGAAAGATGTTACACACCAATAAAAAAAGATTATTATACATCTAACAAGGAAAGGGTCGGAAGTGTCCCCCTCCGATTTTAATGAGCTTTGAATATGTTGTAGTCTAGATCAAAATAGGAGACACGTATTTTTTTATAAGTGCTGAGTCGGCCGTTAAGGGGGTGAAACACCTTCTTGAAAAAAATCGATTTTTTCATTTCTCAGCGGATACCGTCGAAGCGATAAGAGATATAAACAAAAGTTTCAAATAAAAGTTTTATGGTCTTTAATGTACTTCAAAATCATGTAATCAGATTTGTCGAAAATGTCATATTTTTCGAAATCCCCCCCCCCCTCCCTTTTAATGTTTGAAAATTTTTAAATTTGTCTCATAACAAAACTTATAGCTCATTTAACGACAAATTCAATCATATATAATAAAGTTGTATTCCGAAGTCACATTTTTCAGAAATAAATTAAAAATATCCCTATACACTACTATACGCCCGCTTTATCCGCCTTATGACGCTCGTTATTCACAGCGACAGTCATTTTTCTTCGCAAACTCACAGAGGCAACCATAAATTAGCAATAAATAATTTATGAGAATATATTTTTATAAATTATAGAAATTATATTTATAAATATAATTATAAATTATATAATAATTATAATTATAATATATGTCTATATTATGTGACAATAAATATACATATAATTTATATGGAAAAGTAATGTTTTTAATGCATGAAAAATAAAACTAGTCGGACAAGGAAAATTATTGATCAGATGCCGATGTTAATAGATTCAATTCTATGAATAAACAGATGTCGCATTCGCGAAATGAGTTGGTGCAATATATTATTTTATTAACAACTGCGTGCAGTGGAACACATATTACTATTAAAGCGTCTATCGAATATACGCGAGCGCGATAGTAAATATATTTATATATATAAGAAAATAATTAAAAGGATTATAACTTATAAAGCGAGCGAAAAAATGCGTCGCGATAAGAAAGTCAGCTGCCCGAAGTGCTGATACAGCCAGTATCACACGGCCAAGTCATCAAACAGAGGAAGAAATCACTCTCGAAATAGCGCTGAATTGCAATAAAATGCGAGGAAGTCTTCGGACTTCCTTCGCTTGCATTTTGATCACGCCACTTTAGAAATAACCAATGATTTTATTTGGTCATGCCACCGCGCGATCCTCCTCCGATAATCGTTCAGAACCGGAGGCGTTAAAAGCCACCGCCTAGAAGCGGCGGACAGTCACAAATCAGTTATCAAATAATTAACAAGTGCTCGAGTTAATTAACAAGACTAGCCGTTATCCTGAAAAAACAATTGTGCCCCACGCACACAACAATACAGTATGTATGTACTTTTTCGATTTTTAAAACTTTTATAGTTTTTTGCTTTTACTTACACTTCATTCAAAATTGCGGTTTATCTGTTTTGTTTTAATGTATTTAAATTATAATTAATATTTTATTACTTTATTTAAGTTATGTGATAAAACTGTTCTATTTTTCATGAAACTCGGAAAACGTAACAAATTATTAATACGCATTAAATAATAAAATATTTTTGTTGCTAATAAGTATTTTTTTGCTAATATTTATAAAA